AAACCTCCATCCTCCAGCAACTCCCAAGCACCAACCACAAACTCGGAGCCAAAGCAACGAAAAACCAAGGCAGTGAACGGAGCAGAAAGTGATCCCTTTCTAAAACCCAGCCTACCTCAGCTGTAAGTCCTGGAATCCTGTTAATCATAGATATCAGAGCAGTCCAAATAACTTCTACCATTAATCTTTTGCAGCAGCAGTTGTAATGCAAGTGTAACATGACTGTTTTTCCATGCGTCTCTCTTCCTGTGAAGGCTGACACTAGCAGAGTACCATGAACAGGAAGAGATCTTCAAATTGCGACTCGGACATCTTAAGAAGGTTTGTCAGCTGCTGAACCAGGCAGACATTTTGTTATCTGTCCACTGGGGAATTTGTTTCTCTGTGTATTGTGACATAAGAGCTTGTTGATGAATTTATTTCTTGAGTTACTCAGTTAGTCCAGGACCTATATAATAGGAAGCTTTTACACAGTTTAGAAGTGAAGACCTAATTGAAGTCAGTTAATTAATAAATGCTGTAAAACCTTGTCTTTAGTATAAGAATAATTGAACATATTCAACCCGATTCTCCTGTTTCCTGATCTGAACCATTGCTGCTTTTGTGTGAATCACCCTAAGGATTGAGTGAGCCTGTAGTTTGTCAACATATTCATTGTTTTCCTGATGAATAAGCTTTGCAGTCAGCCCCTGACAGACACTGTACCAAGTCAACCGTTAATATTTAATACAGAACTATTCAACTGTGCACAAGTGGGTTTTGATGAGCTCCTCTCCTTGTAGTCAGTACTCTGAAGTTTCTTTGAGCCGCTGTGTGTTTGTGCATTTGAATCATTTATAGGAAGAAGCTGAGATCCAGGCGGAGCTGGAGCGTCTGGAGAGAGTGCGCAACCTTCACATTCGGGAGCTGAAGAGAATAAACAACGAAGACAGCTCGCAGTGAGTCTGAATCGATGTCTCTTGACAGTTACTGCATTGACACTGGAACAAGATGAACTCAAGGCCACACTGCTATTGACTTCTGTTAGTTTATCATGAAATGGCAAAGGTGATGCTGAAGAATCTGTCGATCTGTAATTAAGTTTCCCCTGCTCTCTTTTTTTTTTTTTTTTTCAATCCACAGATTCAAAGATCATCCAACGTTGAATGAACGATATTTGCTTCTGCACCTTTTAGGGAGGGGAGGCTTCAGTGAAGTTTACAAAGTACGTCATTAAATGTTAATATTGTAGGTTTAAATATAAAGAAAATTGCTTTTCACGTATAAGCCATCGTTTTTTTTAATCCTTCAGGCTTTTGACTTGATTGAGCAACGATATGCTGCTGTGAAAATTCATCAACTTAACAAGAACTGGAGAGAAGAGAAAAAGGAGAACTATCACAAGTATGTAGCTCCATGTGAATGTTTGTAACTTCAGCTGCTTTATGCTGTTATTTTTTATCAAATGTTGAAAAGTTGTTCTGATGTCCTTCCCTTTCACTGTGTGTGTTACTCATCTCTATAAACCTCAGCACCTGCACCTCCCTGCTTGGGTTGCTAATGGACATGTAATTACCCCCCTCTCCACAGGCACGCATGTCGGGAGTACAGAATACACAAGGAACTGGACCACCCCCGGATCGTGAAACTTTACGACTACTTCTCACTGGACACAGACACGTCAGTCAATTGATGCATTTACAAAACTTTGCATTTGGTTGCTGTGAGACGTCGCGTGTAATTCTCATTACGACTGTTTTCCATTCAATAGATTTTGCACCGTTATGGAGTACTGCGACGGCAACGACTTGGATTTCTACTTGAAGCAGCATAAGCTAATGTCTGAGAAGGAGGCGCGGTCCATAGTTATGCAGATTGTGAACGCACTAAAATATCTGAATGACATCAAACCCCCAATCATCCATTATGACCTTAAGCCAGGTACAAATCCCCCCCTCTTTCAACAGTTGCCACATCATCAACAACACGGTGCTGACTTACTGTCTTTTGGTTTCCAGGTAACATCTTATTGGTGGATGGTACGGCCTGTGGTGAAATCAAAATCACAGACTTTGGTTTGTCCAAAATCATGGATGATGACAACTATGGTGTGGATGGGATGGACCTGACATCACAGGGTGCAGGCACCTATTGGTGAGAACAAACAACCCACATACACATGCATTAAATACAACAGCATGGACGGTGGTGGGGGAAGAATTCATATTGTTTGCCTTATGAAAGGCAGCTAAAATACACTGTATTATGCTAACACTCCCTGTCGGTGTTTTATTTTCAACATGTAAGCAGTAGTTAAATGTTGCAGGGGTTCAGGTTTAACTAGTTTTTTAACAGTGGGGTAATAAAATTAATATCAGCATCCTATTTATTAGCTGAACAAACAGTAAGGCGGTCCTGCAGACACAGACAGCCAATCACACGTCAGTCTCAGCTGTCAATCGTGATTTTTCAGCCTGTTCTTAAATCATTAGATATTAATTTAAACCCACGCACAAAGTTCAGTGTGAGAACTACTTACAGTGACAAATCTCTGAAAAATGAGTGCTTTGACTTTTAATTGTGGCACATGTCCAATCTACTTACATGGTGGAGTCGTGGTTCATGACGTTTGCTGCAGCCAGCCACAAGGTGGTGATCTTGGCTTCTCTTTTGAGTAGTTGTCATGCCATTCGTCTTTATGCACAGTCCATGCATGCAATATGTAAATCTACTAACATATCAAATAAATGCAGTGGACAAAAAAGTAGGGAGCATTAAGAGATGTTCAAATAGCATTTGTACATAATTACTGCACTTGAGCTAAAATTACTTACCCTCACTAGACATGGAGGCTTGTACTGATGCTAAACCACTTCTTGATGTTTTGGTCAGGTACTTGCCTCCGGAATGCTTTGTGGTTGGTAAAGAGCCTCCAAAGATCTCCAACAAGGTGGATGTTTGGTCTGTGGGCGTTATCTTTTTCCAGTGTCTCTATGGAAGGAAGGTAAGTAGGGAAACTGAGGTCCTTACCTTTTCAACGTTTGTTTTTGTTTTGTTATTCATGTCTGATAATCAAGCTTTGTTACACTTTGCAGCCTTTTGGCCACAACCAGTCACAACAAGACATCCTGCAGGAGAACACCATACTCAAAGCTACAGACATCCAGTTCCCTGTCAAGCCCGTTTCCAGCAATGAAGCAAAGGTAAGTGAACTTGCATTAACGCCCTGTCCACACTAATGTGGGTATTTTGCAAAACAGACTCTGTCCTCTGTGTTTGGGCCTCTTGTCCACAAACAATGTTTTAAGTCACTAAAATTGAAATTTGGCCAAATGCCTTCAAAAGTGCACATTTTAGAAGACTCCAGGTGCACATGTAAAATGCAGCGATTGGGGAAAAGACATAACAGTTTACGTCTCTCACTGTGGCTTTGTGTGATGAGCATGTGCCAGAAACAATGTTCTGCTCTGATATTTGACAGATTGTTGATGTAGACTTTATCACCATCTGCTGGCCTGGCATGCTTGTTTGAATTCTGAGTTGTTTTTGTGTTCTCGTCTGGACAGAGATATTTTGTTAAATGAAGGTTGTGCTGGCAGAGACCTTTTCAAACTGAGGGGAAAATATTTCCACAGTTATGTAGACAAGGCTTCAAATAACGCTATTTAAAATGTCGTGAGGTAAAAAAAAAAAAAAATACTTGACACAACTGACTGACCTTGACATTTTGCATTCTGCCCGTCCCCCCTTTCAGGCCTTCATTAGGCGGTGCCTGGCATACAGGAAGGAGGACCGCATCGACGTCCACCAGCTCGGAAGCGACCCCTACCTGCTCCCTCACATGCGGAGGTCGAGCTCCTCTGGAAACCTGCAGATGAGCGCTGCAAGCTCCGGGCCAGCCTCCTCCAGTATCATCTCATACTGACGCCATCGAACTGTGACAGAAGGGCAAACTGACCAAGTTGCTCCTACGCCCGCAGCGCTCGTGGGATAGGCAACAGCCAGAAAGGAGGGAGGAGCAGGACACAGGTGGGGAGATCTCACCTGAAACCCTCTGACCTGTGCCAGGCTTCTTCATCCTCACCAGGACTTGATTAATGGAGGGACAGTGAAGGGATGTTTTTTTAAAAAGGACATGGGTAACTGGATCTTTCGACGGTCCGACGAAAGCACTGAAACTGACAACGTACCTTGAAGAAAAAGTGACTGTGCACTCTGTTCAGATGTTGCAGATGGATAAAGCCTTAAAGAGCCGAAGGGAAACTTGGCAGCCCGCCGTTAAGATTAAATAACATGGTCCTGCCAGGGTGCAAATGATTCAGCTGCTAGAAGTTAATATACTGTGAGGAGAGGACTGTCATTGTTAAGTAGAACTACAAAGATTTCACTGTTGATTTGGCAAAAATGTTGTTTTTTCTCTCAAATATTAGGCTTTAATTTGAGTTACTTAGCCAAGGGAATGTAATGTTGTAGCATACAAGTGGCATCTAGTGACATGTAGGTTGGGGCAGCGTACTTAAATGCACAAAGTAACCAAATGTAGGAAAAAAAAAATTACAATGTATAAAATCCTATGCAGGAATATTAATTAACAGGTAGATTGGAAGCTGTTTATGCTGTACAGGTGAATTCTCAAATTTTGAGCTGCAGCAGAAACGTGTACAAAGACAAAAAATCTCCCCCGATGTAAAACTAGTTACCTGGAGTGGTTTCATTTTGCTGCTTTGTTGCTCTTACTTTTTCAAGGGCTCTATGTTCCACTTCGGGTATAAATTGTACAGTTCTGCTAAGAGTGAATAATAAATGCCAGGAAACCTTTTTTCTCCCAGTGAATAGTGTTAAGTGAATAATGTTTACATCACCCCTGAGACATTTTAGGATGCTGTATTCCAGAATTTACCTCCGTTTTCTGAGATTATACTGATCCCATGTGGCCTTGTTCGGTACTGCATCACATGCCAAGGGACGCTCACAACATGAATTTAGGAGATCGGCATAAAAACACAAAGCGGAGGGAGAGATACAGAAAATACATACGTTTAATCAAACAGATAATTTTTTTTTGTACAAAACAGTTAAATATTTCATGGTTACAACAGCAAGCAAACCTGCTAATATACTGGAGAATCCCCATGAATGTAGTCATGGAGATTCAACGCTTTCACCCCCTAAAAAAAAGATGCAAAGAAACTTGAATTGCACATTAGAAAGGAACCCATTTACCACACTTTCACGCTTGCCCAGATAACACATAATATTAAATAGTTGTGGTTTATTTAAAAAAGTTGTCCTGCAACAGATACTATATTTACTCTGCTGAGGAGTTTGAAACATTCATGTCATTTTGCTTTCACCGTCAAACCGACAGGACTACTTTTTTCTTTAGATAACCATTTCTTAGGATATCTGGCCGTTTTGCTGCATGTGTGAAAAACAGCGGCCTAATTCCAGTGTCTGAGAAAGTGGAGCTCTCGCACAACAATCTTCAACAGTGTGTAGGAGCTACTTGTCCACAGAGTAGTGCAGCTAATAGACTCTGTGTTGTAGAGGCTTGAGAGCTAACCGACAATCTTAAACGGTGCTCTCTGTTAAGAGGGGTCTACAGACATTGTGATATTTATTGATTCGGTGACGGTTGCTGATGATGAGACCGGGGTTCTAGTCAGTGACCTGTTCATCTGGAAGGTGGAAGAAGGAGACGATGTGAATTGTGTAACAGCAGGAAATGTGTTAGCTGTGATGGGGGGAAGAACAAAGTCAGATGGAGGCAGAGTGACACCAGGAACCACACCGGGAAGGTTTAGAGGAGGAAGAAGTGGAAGACCTGTGGAGTAATACACAACATAAACAAAATCAGGACAGTGTAGGTGGAATTAAACCATAATAAAAAATACAGTACCCACATACATCTCTGTGAGGAGAGTTGAAATATATATAGTTACATATACAGTGTGATGTTTTCTATAGTTTTTGGTAAGGCTGAACAATTGACATAATCAATTATACCAAATATCAAAATCACAATATCTAAATAGCATTCTGTTTTTATTGATAAATGTAAAATGTCACATCAAATTATGCATTGAAGTGAAAAACTAAAACTTTTCCCCACAAAAACTATTCTCATAAAAAACTGATCTTTACTCTCTGTCAAAATTTGAAATGCTTTTTTTAATTTTAACATGTAGCCCAGTTGTAGTTTTAGGGCACCAGTGGAGTTCTGAGGCATCGATGAATAAAACCATGCTTCAGTTACACAGACGATACTTTTTTATTTCATCCTTAGATTTAATGTGGCCATGACATTTGTGGACGGTAAGAGAAAAACGGAATTACAGACATAAAAGTTTAAGATTGTCTTGCAATTAATCCTACAACTTAAAAGTACACACCAAAAAGCAAAACTATACCTGGATGTTGTAATCGAACTCCAGAAGGCAACATTTGGCCCATGTCTGGCAAGGTGATATTGAGGTTTGGAAAATTCGGAAATGGTGGAAGACCTCCAGGTAAGTGCATTAAACCTGTACAAACATATGATATATACATATAAGACAATGTTATGTTGTTATGAGTAAGAGGAGCTACAGGTTTATCCTGAAGAGCCACAAGCCCAAGAATAATTCGGACTCACCTGGTATTGTCGGAGCAGGATTGACAGACAGAGGAAGGCTTTGTGAGGAGGGGGCTTGGCTCAGCAGTGGAACTGTCGGGTCATCTGAAAATGGTCATTATAAAACGTATTGTTGACTCCTGGCTTGTACCATTTCTTTTTGTGATTTTGTTCAGTTGTACATTTTGATTTCATTTCACATTATCTGCACATAAAGGTAGGTCAACCTTTGAACATCAATTCAAACAGCTAATGTTAGAGAGATGATGACGTACCTGTCGGTAGATTGCTAAAGACTGCAGTCGGATTAGAGTTGACCGTCAGGCCCGAGAGAGACTGCTCTAATCCAGTCGATGCAGAAGAGGGTGACACAGCAACTGGAACGGTTGGAATGACGGCAGAGAGATGGACCTGGTGACAAAAAATTATTTTATCTCAGTTAATGCTCACAACATGTGGAACACAGATAATATCAAAATTATGGATGCAAACAATGTCTATTCTGAGGTACCTCTGTGAAGCCATCCTTAGGTGAAGAAGATTCTCCAGCAGTCTCTGCAGGGAAACTGATCTTCTTGCCCTCTGCATATGGGAAGGTAGGTATCCTGTGCAGGTAGCCATAACCAATCCCACAACCTAGACTGAGGTGAGAGAAATGCAGGGATTCTGTGAGACGATTTCACAGAAACTTTAAAGATGAAAAGCCCAGACATGATTTAAGAAACTGAAGGAAATCATGTGGTATCGTAGCAATTTTAAATCCTGTCCAGTCACTGATGGTTTTCAACACAAACACTGTTGTTGTTAAGTCCATGGGTCAATGGACAGATAAATATTTATTTCAACATTTACTAAAAAAAGCAACGAGATCTAAAAACAGAATGTCTGACAGATGTTGGCATAAACTGCATTTTTCTAGAATCATAGTTATATAAAAATTACAAAAGTTCTGAATTCTTTCATCCTTAACGCATCAATTAATAACATCAATCAAAAACAAATCAAGATTTGAAAATAAAGAAAACTGCAGAAACAACACTGACACTAATTCCAGACAGAAATGGAAAAAAATCTGCATGAAATTATCCTGATCATTTTACATTTTTATCAGGTAAAATCATGAAAACTCAACTCTTAATTGATTATTTCTGGTCATAGTTGGAGTCAATATTTAACATCTGCACCTGAAACATTATGCTTTTATGTCACTGTATGTGCCTTAGACAAATCACTGTGTTCTTGAATTGGTTTTATTAAAATATCAAAACAAAATTCCTGGTTTTTAACTGAGTGAAGATAAAAGTTCAGGAAGATTGTTTCCATGTCGATGGTCATACCTGCCCTCTCCTCCCCAGTCACCGTTGGGCCTGATGATGACCTCGCGGCAGTTGTCTGTGTCTGTGTTGTAGACGTACAGCTTCAGCTCCTTCCCTTCATGGGTTTCAATGAGGGAGAACAGATCCTCGCTCTGTTCAGAGAGCAGAGAAGCACGGTGACTCGCTGCCACCTTCATGTCAACACTAGCATTACATAAAGCGTCGGTAAAGTACCTCACTAATAACGGTGTCAGCTCCTATAATGTAGTCAACGTGGGCCCTCAAACCAGCCAGGGCCGCAGGTGAGTTGGACTCTACTTCCTGTGTTATAAAAATATCAAGTCACTTCATCTTTGCGTATTTTTATGCATCTGCTCTTTTATTCGCGACACTTACCAAGACGTGCCAGATATTTTCATTGGCTCCTTCAAAGCTGCAGAAGCGAATGCTGACGCCCAGCAGCCCCTGTCCTCCCCACATGTTGCTGGGTGTGACGGTCGTCTCCCTCACTGACATCGACTTGCTGCTGTACAGCAGCATCTTGATGGGCCTCTCCACGTTCACCTTCAGCAGCTCTTTCAGGGTGTCGTTGTCTCTGCTCTATCAGAGGTAAAAACATTCACATCACGTATGAGACAGAGGAAAGCAGGTCCCGCAGCTACGGGTAGTTATTCCTCTGATAGGAAACTCACCAGTCTATTGTCACAAATGGAAATGATGAAATCAAAGAATGGCTCCAGGCCTGCTCGGTGACCAGGGGAATTCTCCTGCACCTGCAAAATACAGCATCATAGAGATAGGACTATAAAGCCTACATGGTGAGATGTACACAAGAGGCGGTGGTGGAAGTAGTACTTAAAACTTTACTTCTGTAAAATGACCACCTGAACAAAGTGAAGATACTCAATCACAAGTAAAATATTCTTTATCAAACTCTACTTAAGTAATTATCATCAGCAAAGTAAACTTAAAAAGTTAGAGGACTTGGTCCCTGTGACTGATAAATTATCATATAACTTATTGGATTACTAATATTAGTGAATCAATTCAAAGTACTATTTTACTGTTGAATGCCAACATCTGCCACATATTTACCACCTGTGTAACACTCCTTGAATGACTGTATTTATATATATATATATATATAAAAAAATCCAATTTAGATAAAATCAATATTTTGAAGAAGTTAGAAAGATGTCAAAATCTCTCTCTGATATATTAATACCAAAATATGATCCAACTTTTGCACCCCAGATACCGATTTCCAGGTATCTGCCTGATACCAACTACCACCAACTGACTGTTTGTTGTATTGTGCCATCACAATAAGGGATTAATCTATCTATCTATGAAATCGTGCGATAAGAAAGTGAAAGTGAGAATGGCTTCTACAACAGGACAAAGGTCTAAAGGAGACCTCAAATATCCACCACCATCAAGAAAAACAACAACGGTGTTTAAGAGCCTCACAGTCACCTGACCTGGACATAAATGACCATCTGTGTGCATGTGCAACCTAAAGTGTTGAAGTGATCTGCAGGAAAGAGCTGGTAAAAATGGAGAATAAAAAGACTCCTGGCTACAAGTAGTGTTTACAAGCAGTGATATCTGCCCATCTTTTGAAAATGCCAAACCACTAATTGTTACTAATTGGAGGTCGTGTTTTCATCTGTGTTTGTTAAGATTTGCTGGATTACGCAAAACATGCTTGATGGATTACCACAAAACTCTGTAGGACGATGTGTTATAGGTCAGGAAAGAACTAACTAATTAACTAATTAATTTGTTTGTGGTGCAGATCCGGGAGTTTTTTTCTTTTCTTCTCACTTATTTATCATTTGAGTTGATTTCTCTGAGAATATTTCACAGATCTTCATGAAAAACAGGCGCTGATATCAATGTGAGTGTGTGTGTCTAACTCAACATTATGTGTTTTGTCCAGAGGAGAACGAACGTCCTCGTCCAACTGTGTAATAACAGGGAGGTGTAGGAGGCGTTAAAGGGAGAGTTCAACATCTGTTTGACTGTAATCCACACGTGGGAGCTCCACGCCCATTTTCCAGAAATCATGCAGTGGCTCCGCCGGTTACTCAACAAGACAACATCCAGGGCATCACCTGCACACCTCGGGACAGGAAGTCACCGCGTGTTGACAACCACTGCGCATGCGCATGTCAATAGAGGCACTGTCAAATCGATCATAAATATTGATCGTGTGAACAAGCGCGAGACGAATCAGTAGCTACGTACAACAGCAACCAGCGTTAGAGGAATATACGCAGACATGTGAGGTCTACGTGTGAAGTATCCAGGTAAACAGGTTAAGGGGCGTTAACTTCACTTCATTCACACAACACGACATATGACAGGTAGCTAGCTGTTAGCCACGAGCTACACGGCTAAATAAACAACGGAAACCTCTCCAGTTCCCATCACTCCACTTCTACTGAACTATGACGAGCTTGTTATTATTCACCAGTGAGGTTTGAACACTAGTGTGTGATGGTCCTCCCCCAGGTCTCTGCAGCTGACAGCAGGTAACAAAAGGAGCTAACGCAGTAAACGATGAAAACAACACGTGTCTCTTACTCTGAGGACGTGGTAGCCTTCAGTTCCTCCTCCGGGTATCTCGACGCTCTGGGAGCCCCCCATGTTTCCCTGAATGCGCGTGTGTGTGTGTGTGTGTGTGTGTGTGTGTCTGTGTGTCCGGGTGTTAGCGGCAGCAGGAAGCGGCTCTCCTCCGGTTCATGTCCGTGTGACAGCGCTGTGTTTCCGGCGGCTCCTGACTTCTGACCACTTCCGCTTGAGCAGCAGCAGCATCAGATCTGTGTGGAGGCTCAGAGGCGACAGGATGAGACTTGATTCATCCAGGTTTAATTAGAGACAGGTCTGATTATAGATTTTATGTTTGCTGCTTTGTAAAGCTGGATTGTCAGATGTCTCCAGGGCCCCACACCCTCAGGGACAATAACATCAGATAAGTAAAAAAAACATCTGGTGTTTAATCATGTTCCTAAATATGCTTGTGTTATTATCCAATGACAGACACTAAGAAAACCTGATGAAAGTGAAAGAGAGATAAGATAAAAATGTATTAATCCACACACTGGGGAAATTCACTTGTCACAGCAGCAGACAAGTCAGCATGAGGTAGACAAGAGAATGAAATTAATAAAGCAAATTAAATAAAAAATACAGAATATGTACACAATACACAATTTCACTGTAGAAATTAAATTCATTAAAAGTTATTGAGTAAAGGTTATAGAAGAGTTATTGACTGCTTAGTCCATGACAGTATAATAACTTTATTTATCATTATTTAAAGACCAGACAATTTTACCTCTTGAAAAAAAACATGTCTTATTCTACTACTTTGCTTGTTTACATTGAATTTTTTAGCTGCACAGAACAACACCAAGATTCTCAACCTGTTGTAAATCCCAGTCTCCTTAGTCCCCTTTAAACAGAGATCCCAAAATATAGTTGAATATGGTCTGTACAAATAAAATATGATTGATTGATTGATTATATTTACACAGAACCAAACCAGTTGTCGTATTGCTGCCTGCATGTGGGATTTTCAGGTTGGATGACAGAATTCCAGATCCAGAGGCAGGACATGTAACCTCAACAAACGAAGTCCAGTATACCACTATACAGTTCAGGATGTTTATGAACATGATACAAGAACTTTGTCTCTGGAGTGATGCATTTGTTAATGTTAATATTAAATAACTCCATTACATTCTCCAGCCATGGCTTATTGAGACAAGTCAAAGCACATCAGATTTCTTGATAATGACAAAGTTTTTTATGACTTGCCTTGCTAAAGTGCAGATTCTACTTAATTTGAATTTTTCCTTCAGATGATAAGTAATGTCTTGCTCAACAGCACCACAGTGCGGTGTGACAGTCTGACATTCAAGCCTGGTGCTGACTGTGTAGAGTTCTGTCTTTGTCTTGTATTTTTATTGTCTCCCATATCGGATCTTAGCTGCATGGGTGTGTGGAGTGTTGATTAGATATACAGGATAAAACCAGTCAAGAGTTTTGGAAGGTGAGTGATGACTGTCTCAGCCGTCAACATCCTGTCAACACAGCTCAGTACCCTCAATGAGAATATCAGCTTTGCTTTTAAAATATGTTTATTTATTTTTTCAGCTCCCTGCTGCTTCTGATCCGATCGTATAATCAAGTCCGAGCAGAAACGAGAGCAAGATGTGAGAGAATAAAACAGTCTGAGTGATGGAAGTGATAATAAGAGATATCATCAATGCTATGAAGAACACTGGGCTGCATGAGCAGATTGATGTAAATGTAATTGAATATCTCTGTAGTGCAGCTGCTCTTATCAAATAATTTGAAATAAACTTCCTCAGTATTGTGATTCTCCTCATTAATCATTGCTTATCCTGTCAGCCTTCTCTCTGCGGGCCACAGTCGTGATATATTTAAATACACATTCAAGAGAATAGAGGAAGTATTGGTATGGAAAATACACAACTCTTCTCTTTGGCCTTCTTTTCAAATTGAGAATGTTTGTATCGCAGCAGATTGTATTTGATTATCATTAGTATTTTGATATATTACATATTCCTGTTTTCTTGTTGTACCTTTTACTTTGTAAAGCACTTAGCTCAACCAATTTGTTTTAAATCTGCTATATAAATCAAGTTGGCACTGACATTGGCATATTGGTGTGTTACAAAGTGCTTCACAAGAGGATAAACTACAATCAAACAACAATGAAGAAAAGAAAGAAACAAAACAATAAAGTGCTACATAGTTACTTCGTTTCAATTATAATTTTACAGTTTCATCATTTCTGATGAATAGGAGTTATTTATTTCTAAAGAAAAACTATTTAAATTGAGAACTGTAAATCTGATAAGATTTGATATGAGATGAGTCTTCGAACATGTCATATCATGCCACTTGATTAAGATTACTATTTTTGGTCCCACACACAGCATGCAAACATGCAAACATGGGGAAATTTGACCTCTGTATTTAACCCATCCATGTGAATGGCGCACACACAGAACACACGGAACAGTGACCACACACGGAACAGGGGAGCAATTGGGGGGTTCAGTGCCTAGCTCAAGGGCACCTCGGCAGTGCCCAGGAGGTGAACTAGCACCTCTCCAACTTCCGTCCATGCTGGACTTGAACCGGTCACCCTCCGGTTCCCAACCCAAGTCGCTATGGACTACTGCCTCCCATCTTGCAACACAACAGTGGGGTCCCAAATTCTTCTGCAAAATGTTACACACACTGTTGCAACACATCTTGGAAAACCTCCTGTAAGGAGCTCGCTCTACATTCTTGCAAAGCTTGTGCAGTTGACCACCACAGTTCAGGATGTTTATAAACTGAGCACAAGAAGCGATTAAGATTATTGAAGTCACACATTACAAAAAACAGATGAGTTGACTGTCAAAAAATCAATTGCAATCCATTTTATCAATCGACTATTAAAAAACATTTAATGCTTCCAGCTTCACCAATGTGAAGAGCTGCTGATTTCCCCCATCTTTACAGTAAACTGTTGGTGGGATGAGTCTGTAATATTTTCGGTAAGGTTTTTTTGAAAATTGTTATTTGTATATTTAGTGTATGTCAGTTTTCATGTAAAAAAAACTAAATGAAATATATATATGTCCATATTTATTAAACAAAAGATACTACAAAAAAGAAGTTAATTGCAGAGATCATGGTGATTTTTGGAAAATTATGTTTCGCTTTATTTTCTGATGTTTTAGGCTTGGTGATGATGTCAAATGATGATAATCATGATAATCATCATCATCATCGTCATGATTAGCAGCAGCAGCAGATTAATCAGTAATAGACACAGTCATAAGTTGCAGCCATTTAAAACTTAGACTCTTCATTCTCCCATTGTAACAGATCTTTATTACCATTATTTACCACCAGTGAGTTATTCACTTTACGTGTTGACACTTGCTCTTTCAAGGTGCAGATAAATAAACTCTGTATTTCAGCAGAAGCTTGCTGACGCCTTAAAACTCTGTGATCACCACTCTGGATCGCTCTCCCAGATTTATTTCTTCTTCGGTTCAGCGAGGAATTTACAGCTGAAGCTGCAGAGAAAGACTGTGCCGTTGTTCAGGCATTTAAAGCACAGACACGGGGGAGTCAGAGGAGGCGAGGATGCCACTAACAAAGAAGTGGCCAGAAATGAAAATGTCCATAATTTGATAAATATCTATAGTTTGCTGTGCTCCCTGTCCAACACCCACTCACATACACAGATCTCACCAGCGGTTACAGTCAGGGTTTGTTTCTTAATGCCGTTGGAGTGTGAGAGGTAATTTCTTTGCAGCATGTAATAAATTCTTGCTCTGTGCTGACATTATGTTCTCTGCTGTGCTGTGAGACAGAGATATAGGCTGCTAAGTGAATTAGAAAAGCCTGTGTTAAGATGACAGAGCAGAGGAGCCAAACACCAGTGAGCAGTTATCACATCCTTAATGTTGTTGTTCATCATTTTAATTTCACCAGCATCAGACACATGTTTCCTGTCCTGTTCGGACCTATAGATCCTATTCACGAGAGAAAAAAATGTAGACCCCCACTTGAACGCTTTAGAGCTCTGGATGATATTGTGCACTATAATCTTGTGCCGGGGGTTGTTTCATTCATTGTGATAGCAATCAGTGCACAAATACTTGTTTAACTGCAGTGTAATTGCTCCTGGGCTCATTTATAAAATCTCCAACAGAGACATATATTAGCAGCGTTTCAACTTCAACAAGCACCACATTAGGTTTACACTCCCCAGCCGTGGAAGTTACAGTCTCTGGACTATTAATCTCCTGCTTAAAATGTACTTTCTGCCAAAGATTAATCAAGCTGTGGACATGCAGTCAATAAGAGGAGGCTATTTAGATAAGTGTGACCCATTATAATTATTTCAGAAGTCGGAGGTGTTGCAGTTTGTTCTGTTATCGCTGCTTCAGACATGCTTTGGCTAGAATTTGAGAACAAACTCAAGAGATTACAAAGGCAAGTAAACACCTTTTAAGACAGGAGAACGCGTACTTAAATAGGAAATGCAATTTTTTAAAACATTGTGGTGGGATTGCTGAGATAAATTTCTTATCTTTGCATGTCACGTTGAAAATACAAGTTACAAGCAAATATTTTGACCCTTCATTTATGCCTGAGCTGAGTAGCCAATCAATTTATTCCCTGGTGACCTTTGCTGCTAAAATAAAACAAAATCTACAAAATCAAAGTGATAATAATAGTGAATCCAAAAGTTTGAAAAAGGTTTGATTGAAACTAAAACAACCTGTTATTTTTTTATCAAATTCATTTTACTAGGTTTTATTACTATCCTCCAGAAACATGCAGTATATATATTAGCTACATGCAGCTTTCAGTACTCCACTGAGCTATTAACAGTACACGAGGTTGTGATGCTTTCTATTTCATGGCCGGAAGCTAATTGAATGACATATAAAAGCTGAGTAGGCGGGGGGGAGGCGAGTCTCTGTCAGCCTCAGATTTGAGTGTGTGAGCATATGGCTTATGTTTCCAAGAGGAATATGCACCAATACAGATCCACAGTTCATTCAGTTCTGGTCAAAACGGTTTGCAGGAAGTTATAAAATGTTTTTATAATAAAATAAAAAATATAGAAATAAGCAGTTCGAGTTACCAAGCTATTTTATATCTGTTTCATTGTACTGTGCATTCTATTCATCTTAATACTTCGTGTTGGGGAAAAACAAAGCCCTTCTCTTCTCACTCTTTTCTAATACGTAATATGGTGCATGTATGTAATGCAGTCTCTCATCCTCGTATGCATGGTCATTCACACCGATCCACTTTTCTTCAAGAATAAGTCAATTATCACTTGATGCTGAACCCAAGTTGTAACTTAATTTCCGAAACTCTGTGTCAATTGCATATAATTAGATTTTAGCTCCACATGATTTCACGTTTCCATTATATAAACATCTTCTTGGTATTGTGAGAATAGTAAATATTTCAGGATGTGGACAGCAACACCGCCAATAACCTGTAAAATGCTCAAACATAACAGCAAAATTCTTACCAACTGAGAATTACAAATACACAACAGGTAAACTTCCTTTTTTTTCTCAAAAGCAGTGGCTTTAATTGTGCATGGATGGTGTGTGGAGAAGAGGGGGAAGGGCTGGCAGGCAGCCTGCAGTCAATATCATCATCATCATTTCATTAGACTTGCCTTACACAATGGGAACGTCAGTATCTATTAGGAAGCTAATGTGGCAGTGATTCCCAGGGGTAGGGGTTATATTTGGCACATCAGGAAAACCACTGACATGATTCATAGTCATAGAATAGAGAGGAGGAACTCAACTAAGAAGGGACAGATGGATGAGCGTCCTGCAGCGTGTAAGAGGAAACTTTGCCTATCAACAGTGTGTGGAGAGACAGTGTATCTTTTCCCAGAATGATTTTGGCCGGTCCTCACTCTTTGAAAGGGCTGTTAATTGATTAAGATTTGCTTTTGTTGTTATGTTTAGGTTTATGTTAGGATCTGTTAAGGATTTGGTTGACTTAAGGGTTGGGTTTAGGGTTGAGTCAGGGTTAGGGTTTAATCAGGGCTGGGGTTAAATTAGGGTGAGTGTTAAATTAGGGATAGGGTTGAATCAGAGTTAGGGTTTTTGGGTCTGAGTTGGTTGGGGGTTATGAGTGTGTGTGTGTGTGTGTGTGTGTGTGTGTGTGTCTTTGTGTTTCTCCGTGTGTATGTGAGTTTTTTCTGTGTGTGTGCAGGTGTGAAATGGAGGGTGAACAGACTGGTGCAGAGACAGACTGTTTCACAGTCTGGTGTTCAGAGCCTCTTCACTTACCCTGCAGACACACAACTGCTCCTGCTCCTCATCATTTTACCGACCTGAACAAAAACTGATGGCGATTCTGATCATACATCACATAACAGCCACATTCCATTTATACAGTTTGTGTCACGTACAAACCTGCTATTTCCACACTAATTTGACACGTCCCCATCTGAGTAATTAGCAGTACGTTTTTTCTAACCCGAATCCATTGTTCTGAATAACTGATATTTGTGTGGACTTCGGGTGGTCGTTCATTCACATCCAGAGCTACTAGACTGTGACAAACTACAGCAACCGAACGTCTGATTTCATTTGCATTTAATCACTATAGGATTCTCCGACACCTGCTTCCAAATTACCCATGTCATTACTCTTTGGCACGTTTAACCGTCAGTGATACTGCCATCCTAGAAGTGATCAACAAACAAAAAAATAACCCATTCTCCTTTTAGATAGACTATGAAGTCAAGGGTTATCATTTTGATTGCACCATTATGGGTGGTTATTCCTTTTAATCCTCTGTTCCAATGCAACTTTAGCAGCCAGTGACACCGAGCCTGTAATGATTGCTGCACTCAACCATGAAACAAAGAAACACCGTCTGCCTGGTGGAGGATGGGAGCAGAGCCGCGAGAGAGCCAGTCCCTGCCCGACTGTGTCGGAATAAAACGCAGCCATGCAGAGCGTTGAAATAGCCTCCTCCGGGGGGAAAAATTGTTAAGAGAGCACAGTGTAATGCGTTTTATGATAAATATCTTAAAATTGTGAGTAATGAGAGGAGAGGAGGAATTGGCAGGAGTTCTCGTGAAATCTCTGCTATGAGTTGATGGAACAATAAAACACGGTGATTAATCCCACCAACTGGTAACAGCCAGGTGGAAAGAATAGATATAAGACAAAAAACAATGCATGGAAAACATGCACATTTACCCTGAATTGCCCTTAATTGCATATATAGAATTTATTTTTATTTTATTTTTATTCAGAATTTATTTATTTAAAGGTTGGATTCTCATTTGTAAAGTGAGACCAACTTGTTTCAGTTTCTCTTTGACAGTGACTGGTGAGCAGTGAAAGTGATAAATAAACTTAACACAATATACTTAACACTGTTTTCATCACCTTGAGAGTTCACAACCTCTCTACTGCTAATTAACTTGATTTATTACTGATGAATTGAAGCAGAAAATAATGCAATCCTTCAATTTTATAATCTCAGAGACTCCAGCTGCAAAAGAATTTATTTAATTTTTTGTCTTCATATGTTGAGTGTTGCAATAGTTAGAAGATTCACCAAAATCCTTGACATTACTTACGATACGATATATGTGTTTGTCTGGGGTGAATTTTTACCAGGCAAAATGAAAATATATGTGCTCATGCATGACCCATATGACACATGAAACATCTTTTTATTTATTTGGTTTAACATTTGGTTTAACTTTATGATATTCTTATTCTTTAACTTTTCACACTGGCCCCTTTTTTGTTGGTTTGTTTGTAAGCATGATTATTCAAAAACAACTGGATGGATTTCCATGAAACTTGGTGGAAGGATGCAATATGAATCAGGAAAGAGCCCATTACATTTTCCAGAAATGTACCATCACTTTCTTTAACATTGTGAAATATGAAGTTTTTTTTTTTTTTTTTACATTTACACTGATTTCCAAGAAAACAAAATAATCATGCACACTTAGGGGAGCTGATATCTATGAAAAAGTAAGGGTAATGGTTACATTAGGTCTCATCATACTCTCACAAAAGTGTTGTTCGTCACATGTATTTATTCACTTAATCATTAGGTCAAAGGTCCTTTTTCACAAAATTGTCTTTAGTAGCGCTGTGGGTACAGTGATACGCTGCAGATGATGGCGTGAAGTTAAAGTGCCTACACTGACAAGGGACAATTGTATCCCGCTAATTCCGGAATGTGCAACTGTTCAATAAATCTTCTTACAATAGCAAACACTGTGCATGGAATTGTTCAAGCAAAGTTCTAATAATCCCAGTTTACCTCAACATATAATTGTGCGGACAGTGAGCATGTTATGACAAAACTGAAATTTTGCATATTATAGTTTCACTCCACTGAACACAGTGTGATACAGACAATCATGTGTGCGTAGAATATAAGCTAACCCATGATAATGGTTTAGCATTGTGCTTTTTATCTGCAGCAGCATCCGCAGTCAAGCCTCCCACGTCGAGCCAAATGTCTGGACAACATTCAGTCAGTGAATCACGACGACATTGCACAGTTACACAACATAGATTGCACTCAAATTTAAGGGCGGTAAGTTAAAGTGTTCTTATATAAACATCTGAATTCATCCACAAGGGGGAGTGAGGGCCATGTGCATGTTCATGGACGTAACTCAACCCTTCTTTGGTTCACAGATAAACTAAAAGACTTCAATGTTACTGGGAACATTGTGATATTGTACTGAATACATTGAACAATTGAAAAGAAGAGCAGATAACCTATTCACAATTATAATCTCTCCATGTATATAAAGTTATTCCTCTATTACATACTATACCGTGTGGTTGATTTACATCTAGGATTTTTCTTACTGTAAAACTCAGACACATTTGGCACAAAGGCAATGTAACAATACTATACACAATCTACACAAAAATCTCTAAAAACACAGCACTCCAGCACAGTACCTGTTACAATGAGTGTGTTATATATCCCCACTTATGCAATATCAAATAACAGCTATAGGGTACAATATGGCGGTGCTTGATAATAACATAGACCACATGAAGCACCAACAGTCTATATATATATATATATATATATATATATATTCATATTTTACATTGATACCATTTATGTCAATGCTGTGAGGTTACCTACATTGTGCTCTGTTACTTGTGAAAAAATATTTTGATCTTATTCTGTTTTTAATTGTGATTTTCATATAATACAACAGTAAAATTATATTTTTATACCTGCTCAGTGACAGAATCATCCAAGTGCTCAGGTATTCTTGCTTTTTTCACATTTAGGTGAAGAGAAACCTGCGTCCAACTCATCACTCTGACATTATAAATATGAATTGTTTGGCAAGAATAACTTGTGCTCATGTGATTCTCTCAAGCTTTGACTTGTGTATTTTTTACTCCCACACCCGCTTGTGCAAATGTTTTCAATATCGTTGCTGCTAAAGACAGAAAGAAACAGAGAAGTGACACACAGGGCGTATTATTATTAAATGGCTGTTTTAAGCAACAAAAAAAAAACTCAACATCTGTATAAGACAAAAGGGACATGAAGCCAAGCTCAAGGCTCACCAGATATTTCAAGGGGGTGGTTTTACTTTACAGGTGTAGCGCTTACAAGTCATTCCCCAGTCGCTCCATCTCCTCGATGAGGAAGTCGATGTCTGACCTGGTGGCGGCAGGGTTGGAGATGACCATGCGGAAGAAGTTGACCTTGTCTCCCTGTGGCTGGTAACCCACCATGGTGGTCCCGGACTCCATCATCATGGCCTTGATCTTTGGGGCCACCTGTGAAAAGGAAAAAGACATCAGCATATTATCTCCACCAAGGAGGTTATGTTTTCATCTGTTTGTTACATCATGCAAAAACCACTCAGTTTCCATGACATTTTGTGAAAGGGTGAAGCATGACCAAAGGATGAAATCAGTTTTATTGAATTTTTATCATTTTGATCCATTTTGGTGCAGATCAAAATCAGAGTGCGATCCAGGAATTATTTTTCACTTTCTCAAACATTACAAGATAGGGCATATTTGTTTAATCCACAAAGAATGATTTATGGATCTTGATGAAAAAAATCTGACATTTTAAGGCTTAATAGTTTGGTGCAGATCCAAACCAAAAATCTGGACCTAGTGAATTTAAATGTGAGTTAATACTGGGACTGTTGGGCCTTTGCATGCTACTGATGCCATGTTATTTTTGTCTGTATGACTCCCTGACTCAAGCAGATACTATACATCAGTTTGAGAGTGAAGGGGAACTAGAGACAAAGCTCAAAAAGGCAGATTCATGAGTCATTACCTTGTGTAACTTCTCGCGTCGCTCCTCACCATCAGGGAAGCCTCGCAGGCTTGGTGGAATGTACCAGAAGCAGACGTTGGTGTGCTGCGGCTGAGAAGAGTAAATTACAGCAAAAATCTTAAATGTGCCTATAAACAGCTTTTTCATGTCAATGTGTCAACAATGCAAAAATGACCCAATCAAGCATAAGTCCAAACTCATATATCAAACATACAGATGAAGCTCATTCGTCACACAAAAAAACAGGTGTGTCAAGCACAAAAGCTCAGATAAGTTTATTATTAAAAACAGTTTTCCTTCAATGTTAAAGCCGATCATCTCCAGTAAAGTGAACATTTGGGTCTCACCTCTCCGTTGAACACCATCTTGAAGCCATCTCTGTTTCTGATCTTATCGTAGAGGTACGCTGACAGATCCAGGCACTTGTCAATGTGCTGCTCAAATCCTACTGTTCCCTTTTAGATTGAGAGAAAAGGATAAAGTGCTGTTATCGTCACATTTTAGATATGGCAGCATTGAGTAAGACACAGCTCTAGATAAATACACACTTTTGCCTTCCACATCAGCCAGAACTTGAAGATATCCACATGCCGTCCACACTGGATGGCCTTGTCACCGGTATCGTATGTTATGTCGTACTGTTTATCTGGCTGGAAGAGGTAGCCTGCAGACATGGAGTTGCAGTTTTGTAGTAATCCCTGCAATGGAAACAACTGTGATGAGACATAAACAGGAAAATAAAGCAGAAACTAGCTTGTGTGTGTGTGTGCATGCATTTGTGATTATTTGTGCACATTATTTGTGTGGCAGCCTCTGTGCAGCAGGAAAGTGAAAAACTCTCTCACCCTCTCTCTGACCAGAATGGCAGAGCACTGCAGTGGCACTCCCATCATCTTATGAGGGTTCCAGGTGACTGAGTCGGCCCTGCACAGATATTGAAACAGTAAACACAGCTGTGTGTGTGTGTGTGTGTGTGTGTGTGTGTGTCTGGAAACAGAGGTGGCAATCTGAGAAGTACATCAACAATTTCATTCCAATATCCATGCATGTGTCTGAAATACGTGCGGTAATGTGAGCTGACTACAGATCTGAGATTTTACACAGTTTTTGGTGCAGATTTTAAGGGACATTCCAACAAATCACAATTTCACTTTCATGAAGTCCCTGGGTTGTGTATGACATTTGTTGCACTTCATTCCTCATCTCTCTCTTCCTTTATTTCCTGTCATCATCACAATGTCTACTTTCTGATAAAGGGATTCAACTGCCCCAAAATAAATTCTATTCACAAGATGGAGGAATTAAAAGAGATACATTTCAAAAACAATTTTCAAAAAATCAATGCAGCAAAGACCAAGATATCCTGACTTTTATTCTGAAGAATAGATCAAGCCCATGGATGTATTAAAAGAGCTGTATACCAAACCTTCATGTTCTTGCTCTGCCCATAGACTTTACACTGGGATGATAACATGCACATAATAATTGCTCTTCTGGACTCTGGGGTAGTTTTATAAAAAAGGAAAAAAAACACCTCTATGAAAACAAAGCAATTATTGATGTCATTTGGAATTTGAGTTGTCCCGAAAAACGCCTTTTGAGCCACCAGAGATTTTTTGTTGTTGTAATACCACCACTGTGTCCACTGAGACTGTTCTCAGCTGTGACTGTATATTAGAATCAAACAGCTTCTAATAATAAATGCCTAAATATGTTAATGTCTTCTTTTACCTCTCAACTCCATTCAGCTTGTGTCTGTGTTTCCTGGACATCAGCAAACCTCCTCCCCAGGCTCCCTTCAGACAACACAACACACTTATTACAGACTTATCAAGCAATGGTCCTAATTATAGCTATCTACAACTGTTACTTTTTGGAATGAAAATTATCAATATTCTCTTACATCGACGTGAAGCCACAAGTTGTACTTTTCGCAGATGTCTGCAATTTCATTGATGGGATCAAAGGCTCCGTAGACGGTGGTACCGGCGGTGGCGTTCACAAACATTGGAACGTACCCCTGAAAATCAAAAGCATTGGAGAAAAATAAAGAAAATGAAACACTGGCTGTACAAATTCTGGGCAGAATTCAGGTTGTTATATTCTTTCTCTGCCAGCTATTGTTGACATCAAAGAGACAGGGCTAAAGCCCATTTCCCAAATACTGCACTCTTCCTTTCTGTGCCTATTGTTGGGGTATAATTGCTTTCCAATTTCACCCAGTCTGCAGATCATTTTAGCTTTGAAGAATTACTTGCAGGAGAGGTACTTCAGTGCAGGGCTCACATGTGAGCAGAGGGAAGCATTAACCTCTTTGAAGTAACGCTGCTGCTCTGGTATACATAAATTCTTCCTCCTCATATAAGTAAACTCCATTTGAGAGTTTCTCCTTATTTAGAGTAAACAAATAGTGGGGACGATGTTTGACCCGCTGTTGCTGACATTCACCTTTTGCTTGGCCTCTATTACTTTGGCTTCCAAATCAGCAGGAACAACTCTCCCTCTGGAAAAAGAAGAAAACGTGCAGTGAAAAGATATTTGAAACTTTACCAGGTTGTGTGCACATAGGTCAAATATAAAGCAAACCTCTCATCTGTGTTCAGAAGGATCAGGTTCTCTGTTCCAAAACCCAAAGCTGCGCTGGCTTTCTTGATGGAGTAGTGACTCTGCATGAAAAAATGTTGATCGGTCACAATCAGGTTGAAACATGTTCACTTGAGGTTTGAAATTATACGGACAGTGATTGATGATTGACAAGGAGAGGGTGTGGAACTGACATGCTCTGAGGTGAAGAGGACCAGTCTCGGCGCAGCTGCCATGCCTTTGGTCTTGACTTCAGGAAAGAATTTGTATCTGGCAATCATCACACTGTACATGTTGGAGATTGCTCCTCCTGCAGACACAGCACATTTATGCTATCAATTATTACATTTTACTATCAAATCAAAGTTTGAAGGCATAATTCAACATTATAAAATAGTTTTATACATGGTCAACGGTGTTGATTCTGTCACTAGACAAATTATTGGAGATTCTTTGCCAGATTCAGATTCATTACTAGACTAAAATAGAATGGCTTTCAATGGAGTGCATACATCTCTACAGGGCCCAACAATCATCTCACAAACTATCAGTCTGTGAAACATGCCTGAATCATTCTCCGAGGAGTCGAGGAAATGTCAAAGAAAGTTCAAAGTAAATAAAATATCCTGGATCAGCCCTTTTATTTTGGATCTGCATCAAAATTAAATGGCTTCTTCTTGGGTCATGTCTCATCCCTCCACAAGATTTCATGGAAAACAGTTGAGAACTTTTTGCCTAATTCTGCAAACTAACAAACATGTACAGACAAAAACATAACCATGAGGTAATCAGAGATTAATAAAAATTAAAAGCTAAGCATCTGATGTTCTCTGGAATCGCGACAGAACAAGAGACATGTTTGCTGTTTGCTCTTACCTGGAGAAAATATTCCATCACCTTCTCCTTCAGGCCAGCCGATGATTTCTCTCATCTTCTTCAGTGTCAGCTGCTCCATGAGAACAAAGACAGGGGCGATCTCATAGGTGAACCTGTAATAATAATAATAATCATAATCATACAGTCTTCTCTACACAATCTCACTTCAATGAAAACGTTGTCTCATTACGGACTCTGAAAGGAAATGACAGTGTACCCAAACTGGAATTAACCTTCATTGTAAACATTGTAGAAAGAGTTGAATTTTTTTTGCAAATTTTGTATTAAATCTTCTCATAGCAGAACTATTTTTTTTTTTATTCTTAAAGAACAGAGTACATGAAAGCCTCCTCTGACAACAGAGGAGGTGATTGAGGATTAAAGCACAGACGGCCTCATCCATCTTCTCCTGACTAACATGTCTACATACAGTCAATATCTCTCTATTCATGCAAAGAAAGAAAATGAACAGGATGTTGCTTTGTGCCCCGCAGCATCTTCAACATATATACACACACAGAGAGGCTATATCAGGGGAAATAAAAAATAATCAAGTCAGATGTCACTTCGCAGACATCGCACATTAATTTCATCACATTCATTCATGCAGACGACATGCACTCATTGTGATTATGAAAGACCTGGAAGCGACCGTCAGTCTGTTAGTGTCAGTCAATATCTGCCGGAGGTAATTAGGGTTGATGGAGTAATTAATAAAGGTATATAAGCAGCCTCCACCTCTGATTTCAACTTATGCTCTTGTGATGGAGCCAAAAACACAACAGACTGGACTCATAGCAGATGTGAGCCAGTGTAACATGGACTGAACCAGCAAAAAGGAGGCAGACCACTGGCACTGATCAGGGTTTAAGATGAGCAATAGAGGTTTATGCAAATTTGAGCCATCCTTTATGCAGGTTTTTCAAATTGTATATATA